TCTTAATTTTTTTGTAACCAATCAAATTACGAGGGAAAGTATACTGGTGACCATAACCAAGTGGTAATACCTGTTCCCATCCCGAACACAGAAGTCAAGCACTTGCGTGACGAAAATACTCATCACGGGGAAGATAGTTCATTGCCAGTATTACTTTTTCTAGTTTTTTTTAGTTAATGAGTAAAGTTATTTTTTTGAATGGCTGTGCCTCGGTTAGTAAAACTGCTCTGGCAAAAGCGATTCAAGATTTAAGTGAGGAGCCTTGATTAACTTTTGGGATTGACAATGCCTTAACTGCCATGCCGAACAAATATGTCGGAGGAGGTGAAAAAGCCACCGAAGGTTTTCATTTTGTTTCTAGTATTGATAAGGAGGGGTTTCCTATTACCGAAGTTGAAACCGGTCCTTGCGGCAAAAAAGTCAGCAACTCTGTGCCTAAAATAATTAGACAGTTAGTTGACGACATGTTATTGTTGATGAAGAGATTTGAGACAAAAAAGATTTAGAAAATTACGCTTCGGCTCTGAAAAATCAACAAATTTGTTTCATAAAAGTAAATTGCGAGTTGCCTCTAATGGAAGAAAGAGAAATATTGCGTGAGGACCGTTTGCTAGGCATGGCTTGTTGGCAATTGTCAAAATGAAAAACTTGGGTTGGAATTATGACCTGGAAATTGATACCGGCCAAACAGGTTCTTTTGCTAATGCTAAAAAAATTTTGCAGTTTTTAAAAAAGAAGTCGGAATTAGAGGTAGTTAGGAATGCTGCTGGTAATTAAATATTCCTTGTCTATTTCCTCTAAAAAAGGCGAATGTAATTTATTACTACTACTGGCTAGATAAAGAATTTTTTTAGCTCGGGTTATTCCGACGTAAAATAATCTTCTCTCTTCGGTCCAATCCTGAGTTTCCCGATAAGGAAGAGTGCCGTGGTCCAGATAAACAAAAAAAACCACTTCAAATTCCAAACCTTTGGCTTGATGGATTGAGGAAAGTATCAAATTATTTCGAGTTTTCAGTAATTTTTTGTCTTCAAAAGCAATAATTATTCATTGGCAAAAATTATGAGCCAACTCAGTCAAATTGGGATATTCTTTTCTCCTCCTTTTTTCTCAACTTTGAACAATGTTGAAGAATTGATGAATGTTTTTTTCTCGTTGAAGGTGGTTGGTTTTAGTTTTTAAGTGTTCTCAATA